CCCCCCCCCACACCGGACAGCCCCGGGGATGGGGAGGGGGGAGCGGGGTGGCCAGGGGGGTTTGGGGGGGTTCGGTGCGGCTCACACGGTGCACGAACGAGCACACGCACCGGGGTTCTTACCATGATCACAGAGATGAGCTGAGGGGGGACTTGGGGCTTGTCAGAGAAACTGGGGGGTCTGCTCTGGCACCACTGACACACCTGCCCCTCCCCTGTCGTGTGTCCCCCCCCTGCAGTCAGCTTGGCTCAGGTAACTCCAACACAAAGCTCCCAGGGACACAGGGAAGCTCCAGCAGGTAGTGACCGGGGGCTGGAAGGGCTCAGCCCTAGGAATAATTCTAATTCCGGGAGTGAGTTCTGTCACACAATCCCCCCCCCAGCTGCATTCTCCCTCTCTTCAGCTTTCGCAGCAGTCGAACGCCATTAACTTCTGCTGATGGCACCGAGGGGAGCGGCTCCGATGGGAGCCCCAGTGCAGACCAGGTTATTCTTGTGCCCGTGTGTGCGCAGGATCAGACCTTGGAGGGGTTTGGGGAATATGGGTCACACAAAGAAGAAGAAGGAAAGTTTTATTTCCTTTTGGGATGTTTATGTGGGGCGGGGTTATTTAGCTAGGTTTTGGGGTAGAATTTTCTGACTTTACCCTTACCTTCCTTTTTTTTTTTTTTTTTTTTTTTTAAACACGAAGGAGGCTTTTTCCTCTCCATTTTGTCTTTGCCTTTTGTTTGGAAGCAGCTAAAACACTGTATAATTACAAAACAAAATTCTCCTGCCATAAATGACGGTTAGTGTCCTTCCGAGGGTTTGAGTATGCCGTGTGCTCAGCTCCCCTGGGATGGTCTGAGTTCTTTCAACTCAAGCGTCTTCAGTGGGAGCTGGGGACGTGCAGTATGTCCTAGAGCTAAAGCCAATGTGACATTAATGAGATGCTGTCATTTAATAATTGTGCTTTGTTGTCATCGCTTGTTGATTGCTGCCCTGTGGGAAAATCTAGTATTTTTTTATTCCTAGGTTTTAGGCTCATTCCTAACTGAAATATTTCTCCCAGTTAATTTCACCAGGCTTAAACTCTGCCACTTGAGAAAATTCCCTGGCCGAGAGTTGTAGTTCCATGGATGTAATAAAGGTCAAGAAGCTCCTGTATAATTTAAACAAGAACTCAAAACAGAGAGCGAAGTTCATGTTGCACTGTAAGGGGAAAATCAAAGTTAAGTATATTCATTTACTTGTGATGTCTGGATGGCAGTAACATAAGACTTTCTAGTTGTTGTTGACTGTAAGGTATGAAAGTGACTTAGAACTGAAAGCCTTAATTCTTCCTCTCAGTTATTGCCTGTCTTGAAAAAAGCAGGACCAGTGCTAATGAGTACATTTCCAGTTTAATACCACTAAAAGCCCTTCATGCCTGTGAGCTAAGAGGAGCTGACACCTACAGTGGAAATTTTGCTGTTGTCATTGACAACTGCTGTTGTCTAGAAGATGGATTGATGAGATCTGAGGAACAGCCCATACCTAGAAGCGTCAGAGAATGCTCCTCTTAGCTGAACACTGACAAGTAACAGTGATTAACTTTAGTTAGTTCCTAAACCATGGAAATGGAAATGCACAATCCTTGAGGTCTCAGGCAAGGTTCATGCTCGGGACCATGACTCACTAGGACACTGGGGAATCAGATGATTTGGAAAGCGACTGAGTTTGCTCTGGTGGCTTAGCACTGCACCAGCTGACAAAGCACCCAGAGAATAAACAGCACAACTGTGAATCATTCATTTTGGAGGAGGAGGGAAGAGCCAATGGCACCACAAAGAGGGGGGAGGTGTGTCACCTGTGCCGCCTGTCCTCTCTGCTGGACTGCCCTGTTTGCAAAAGCCAGAGGACAGCCTGTCCTCTTGGACATCACCCCGCAGTGGTGCTACACCTGAACTGCTTAGCCTCTTGCTTTCCTGCACCCTTCCTTCCCCATCCCTTGCACCTCTCCCACTTGCCTTGCCTTTCCTCCTCCTGTTTCCTCAGCAGCTATGACCAGCCTGAAGGAAATCTGTCGTGGCCTTCCTCTCTACCCTTTGCCTGAGAACAGAGGTCGGAAGAAAGGAATACCCCATGCACCTGTGAGAACCCCTAATCTCACTGCTCAAGAGAAAAAGGTAACATGGGGTTTCACAGGGCCTCACTTCTCTTCCTTTCAGATAAATGCAGCTCGGGGCAGCAGACCTGATTGCCTCAAATGCTTTTCTGAGTGTTCACCTGCCATTGTGGCAAATGTATTTCCTTGGTGTTATAATTTCAGTGGGTAATGGGACAAAGTACTGGAAACCCTTCTGCTTGCTTTCTTCCTTCCTTCCCCAGAGATAAGGAGGTTGATAGGAGGAACATGTGCTGCACGACAGCTTCCATGACTTTAAATGACCGAACAAGAGGCATTAGACTTCAAGGCTGTCAATCCAGCATTGTTCCTTGGAGACCAAATTATGAATGCTGTTGCAAAAACATTGCATATGTATGGGAGTGAAAGCTAACCCCTCAAATACAATCATTATCAAATGTGATGCATCAGCGTCACAGTACAAGCTACACGACTGCATATTTCCATAAAAGACCCAAAGATAATTTATTTTAACTGGTAGTCTGAGTGTCCTGGAATTTAGGCAAGTTTGTAGGGAGCTGAGTTAATTATTTGTCTTTAGTTGCGTAATTCTCTCCCTGTCTCTTTTTGTTTGAATAGTCTACGTACACACTAAAGTAATCATTGCATTATTTCATGTCAGAGATTTAAAAAAATCAGCAGCAGAAAATAATGGTCAATGGGCGGAGGTCCTTAGGAATTTGTGTGGGAGAGGATAAGGTGGGTTCCTTAGTTTGAGTGTCTGTGCTTCGTCACAGGTAACATCACTTCTGATGTGACATTCTGGTCAGAACATGGAAGTCCCTTCCTCACTTCACAAGTTGCACACAACTTCCTTGCCTTCGTGGGAGTTCCCCACTGGCATCAGCAGCCAAATTCTTTCACAGTCCACTTCCACGAGCAGAGGAGAGCCTAGTCAAAGAGTAGAAAGAGGAACAGCTGTAAGATATCCAAAGAGGATTTACTTCAATGTCAGGAGCATTCATGGCTGAGGAATCCTGTTTGTGCCTGGGACAGCTCAGACACATGGAAGTGTGGCTGCTAAGTGTGTGGAAGGGGCTGTGGGGATGCCTGTGAAGATAAAGGAGTGGGGAGTGAGCTTCACCGCATGTCAGAACGTTGCCAATCATCTCCGTTTTATTCCTTGCCTTTTCCCCAGGAGAAGTCTGCTATAGCATGAGGGAGTCCATGCTGCAGGAGAGGAGATGGTATCTCTCAAAAGGGTGCCAAACCTTACTCTTTCCTTCTTCCCCAAAGTCCTCACTCCCTGTATAGAAACTGGAATAGTTTCTTGTCTCCTTTAAGTGTTGCAAGAAGATGGCAGGAGACTGATTTTCTGGCCCCAGTCTACAGTCTAACATCCTACCCTCATCACTCCTTCTTACCTATATATGATAAGAGATCATGCTAGTTGGGGTTTTTATTAGACTGTTAAAGATTTAAAAGCTTCCTTTCTGATTTATTTTACTCTTAATCCTCCATCTTAAACAGAGTTAGAGGTTCAGCTGGTATTTATTTTATATATGAAAGGTCAAATCTTTTTTTTTTTTTTTTTTTTTTTTTTAAGAGGTGTTCCAAGCTTAGAAAAGCATGTAGACAGAAAGATTGTCTGTCTACAAGTTGGTTTTTAAGTCTTAAGACAGGCTTTCAGGTTTTGTTGACAGTGTGTAATGCTGAGCATATTGTGAGTCTTGTCTTTACATACGACACTGTGTTCATTTTCTAATTGAAGTATTCAGGGGAAGTTTTGACAGAAGTGAAGTTAATAATGCTCTGCAGATTTCCTCAGGATTTGGCCCTCTCTTCATTGCAGTTTTAGCCCTTTTGCTACAATAATAAACCTCAGCACTGCCAAAGTTTTATTTTCTTGGGCCTCCTCTTGTGGTTATAATAGAAATCCTGTGAGTAAGAT